TATTTTGGGAAGTTTTGAGTCATCTACATATCACAGGTCAGCGCTCAGCCTACACCATATGTAGGTAGGTAGGTGTAAGCGGGGTTCGTGCGGGCGTGTTCGTGTTGTACATCACAGCAGACGGAGATTAGACGACGACGAAAGGAAAAGAAGAAAAACTTTTGAAACAGTAATATTGTTACATCTTTTTTTAAGATCTTCGAGACGAGACGGTCTTTCAAGCGAGCACTACGCACTAAGCGCCGCTCCGTCCGGCAGCTCTCACAGCCCCCGCATTCGCCAGACGCGGGAGCTGCTTCTCCGGCGACGCCAGCGACGGCGGCGGCAGGAAGCCAGCCGCGACGAGCCAGGCAATATACAGCCCCATCAGCGGTTCCGCGACGGTCCGCGCGAGGTGCCCAGAATGCTGCCGCAGCAGGGCCGTCGTGTTGGTATCATCAAGGTCCGGCGCTTTAGTGCTCGTCGGCAGGTCGTCGAGGACGAAATGGAGGAGCGGGAACAGCGCGTTGTCCTGCACCTCCATGACGTGCTGCTCGAGCTTGCGCCGCCACACGACGTATTCGCAGGGCGCCGTCGCGTACCCGTATCGCTTCAGCGAGGAGAGCATGCTGTTGAACGTCGGGAGCGGCCGCGCGGTGATGTGCAGGACGCTCATTGATGCGTCGGGGAGAGGGGATATCGCTGAGAGCGTCGTGCAAAGCGCGACGTGGTCGACGGGAACCATGTTGATGGTGTTGTTCATGTCGGGCACCAGACCGAGCTGGATGCATCCTTTGACTAGTCGCCAGATGAAGTCGTCGGTGTTGGTGACTTTATAGGGAAAGATGAGAAAGGACTGGCGAAGCCGGAAGGGACGGGCTCACCTGCGGTGCGAGAGTCTCCCACAACATATCCAGGTCGTACGATATGTCCGCTGAGGCCTCTTCTGCCAGCCTCGAAGAGCAATTTCTCGGACACCCACTTCGTCTGGCCGTACCCTGTCTTGAGCGAAGACCTGGCGCCCTCCAGGTCATCGTTTTCTGGTACACCGGAGTACGGTGACCGCCCACGCGATAGCGATTCAGAAAGTTGGACATAGTAATCAGTGTCCACAGCCGAAGTTGATGACACGAACACCATGTTCTTGGGCTTCCCAGTCGAAGCGAGTGTGATCGCCGTTATCGTAGCAATGACATTAGCTGCCCGCAGTTTTTCATAGGGGTACACCCAGTGTACCTAAACATGATGAAAAGCATGCTCTTTTCTTTGAATAAACGAAGAAGATCTCACCAGTGCACCGTTGTGAAGTACAACATCAGCTTCACGAGCGACTCGATCCCAGGTATCCTGCCCAAGTCCAAATAGATCCAAGCCAAGGTCTCCCGTGACCACCTCTAGCCGCCCCGCCGATACCCACGAGTCACTCCAGACGCCTCGGTCTGTTGAGCCCTCCTTCAGCCGCGCCAGACCCTTCTCCACAGTAGAAGCACGAACAAGACAAATGACCTTCTGAACCCTTTCCTCTCTTGAAAGCAGGTCATGCAAGACAAAAGCGCCCAAGAAACCGGTGGCACCGGTGAGGAAGACAGTAAGCGGACGTTGGTGGAAATCGGGAGGGAGAGACGGATAAGAAGCTTTGAGCCGGGGGAGGAGCTCATTGTAATCCTGTCCGTACTCGACGGCGACTGCGGTCGCTTTGTCACTAGGCGCACCGATTGGAGCACCGTTTGCGGTCTCGAGCCCAAGATCTGCGTTGCGAAGAGCGTCAACGGCACGAACGAGACCATCGATCGTCGGTTCGTCGAAAACGAGGCCTAGAGGAGCGTTGACAACGAACACCTTGCGAATTTCGAAGATGAGGCGCGTCGCTAGTATCGAGTGACCACCCAGGTCAAAGAAGCTTTCGTCTGATGGTATAGGCTGGGGCGCATTCGGAAGCAGGTTCGACCAGATTGTACGCATAGCCTCTTCCGTTGAGGAGCCACTTTCCGTCTGTGGTGCTGTCGTCGCTGCGCTCACTGTGTCTGGGAACGGAAGCGCTGGTTTGTCGATTTTTCCATTTGGGTTCAGAGGCATAAGTCTCAATGGAACGAAAACTATGTCAACTTTCGTTTAAACATCTGCAAGTTGAACCAAGTGGATTGCTTACGTGTTGGTACACTGTAGCTGGGGAGCTTCTTCTTCAAATGCTCCCTAATATCCTTGATAAGTCTTCGGTACTTGCGGATACCCCTCGCCAAACCCTTGTCCCCCTCTTCCTCTTGTACATCGCTCGCATATGCCTGGAGATCTGGTGTATCGAGTGGCACGAAATAGCTGACCAGAATCTTTTCTTCGTCCTTATCTCTCCGAACTAGCGTAACGTTCTCCCGTACGAGCGGATGCTGACTGAGATGCGTGTCTATCTCCCCAAGCTCAATCCGGAAGCCCCGAATTTTCACCTGGTCGTCTGCACGCCCAGTACACTCGACAATGCCATTAGGCAAGTAACGTCCAAGGTCTCCAGAACGATACATGCGGTCGCGGATTCCCTTCCAATACCGTGACTCGGGACCAGCGAGGTCCTCGACCGGGTGCATGATGGTATCTCTTCGCGGTGATATACTGGCAGAAAACCAGTTATTCACGAACTTTTCCGCAGTCGCGTCAGCATCAAGATAGCCCTCTGCGAGGCCGCCCGAGCGGACGTAGATCTCGCCTACTTCGCCAATAGCGCATGGAACATTCCTGTCGTTGCGGTTGACTACCAGTAGCTGAACGTCAATCATTCCTTCACCCGCAGGCATGATGTCCTTTTGTGTAGCAAGGAACGTGGAGTCTTCGGAGATTGGAGGGATAGCAAAGTACGACACCGCGCGTTGAGTCTCTGTTGTGCCGTACATGTTGATGATACGAACGTTTGCGGCGAGAGCTTGGAGGCGGAGACAGTCACGCTTGGTAAGCACATCACCTACGAAGAATGCGTTGCGGAGCCAAGGAATCTGACATGTAGCTTGAGCTGAGAGGAGTTGACCCATGGCGGGGGTGAGATGGGTGACGGTAACTTCGCTGGCTGCCATCCATTCGGCTAGACGTCCTGGAGTACCAATATCATCAACTGTGGGGACATGGAGCTGTGCGCCAAAGAAGAGAGGGGTGAACACTAGGTTTTGTTAGAGTACAGCTTGGACGCTGAGGCAAAGACGCTCACTGTCGCGTTGAATGGGGTCATGTGCGATGCCACTCAACATGGTGAACTTGGAATTTTCATTCAAACCAAACCTTTCACCCATCCACGGGAAGAAATGAGTCAAGCTGAAGTGACGCCCTTTCACGCCCTTGGGAATACCAGTGCTTCCACTAGTAAAAGATAAAGTACCGACACTGTCCGGTCCGAGGGTGACATTAGGGTCAATGTCAGCAAGATGTAAGTGAGGCTGAAGTACATCTGTTCCACTTGCTCCAATCCCTCCAGCAATACCATTTCCAGGAAGGACCTCCAGGGCAGGAACCTCGACGCGGATCTTCAACTCGGCGGACAAGAACTCACGAACCGGAGGGCTGATGGTGCCTGCGCCTTTGAGAACTACCAAAGCACGTGGTTGTGCAACACGAAGGTAGATGATCTGACGTGAGGCAGGATAGGCCGGGTCTGAGTTGTTGAATTCAGAGAAAAGGACAAGAAGGTGAATTTATGGCTGACCAATAACCGAGAACGTAGCACCAGCTTTGAGTACAGCCATGACAGCAACGACGAGATCGACACTGCGGTGTGCATAGATCATGACGACCTCTTCTCTCTGAATACCCTCCTTGATGAGATGGTGTGAGAGTATGTTGGCAGCGTGTAAGATATGGTTGTATGTGAACGTGACGCGTTCTTGAACGTCGGTAAGGGATGCAGCTGAGAGGCTCTGAACAACGCAAGGCCGATTTGGCCATTGACGCGCATTCCGAGAAAAGACATCAGTGATAGCTCCCTTCCATCCACACCAGTTAAGGTCAGAAGTGGGATCTGGGAGCTTGGCTCTTTGTACGGGTGTGAGAAGAGGGACCGCGCCTACGGGTGAAAGAGGGACCGCGGCAACCTTGCGAAGGAGAACCGAAAGTTGATCGACGATGCAGGAGATACGGCTCGCGGTAAAGAGAAGCGAGTTGTAGACGATACGGAGTGATATTTGTGGGGCCAAGGCTGAGCGCGTTGAGACTGGGGGTCGGGTCACAAATATCGTGAGATCAGACGTCAGACTTGTTGATAGGATGAAAGTGTCTTGTGGCTTATCAGTTTCGTCGAAGAAACGAACACGGAAGATGGGGGATTCAAGGCCCTCGTCCTTGTCCTTGTTGAGTTCCTTAGTAAGGGCTTCAAAAGGCACCACATCCACTTCAGCCTCTCTCTCGACCTGTTGCACACGTCGCACAACAGCCCAGAAGGGGTCTGTTGACTCCACTGATAGGCGTAGAACCAGAGGATCTCGTTCGGTCGCAGAAGAGGAACCAATAACAACATCAGTGTCTCCTGTGTAACGATGCAACAGCACGGTAAATGCTGCCAACAAGAGATGAAACGCGGAAGGTCTGTTCTCGTCCACACTGTCGTCGTCATCAACATTCTCGCTTTCACCATAGAGAGCAAGCTTGAGCAAGCTCAGAGATGTCTGTTCCGAAAGTTGTGCGACATGGGCTGCCTCGATGACCTTGTTGGCGCCTGTCGGCCTCGGATAATCAGTAGGAAGAGAGATGGAAGGCAAATTCTGTAATCTTGCGACAACTCTGGCGAGACGTCCGTCCGCCATTTGTGCAGATGATATCAGTCTAACACAAATTTTTATGAATCTCCGTGAGTAAGCGATCAATATCAATCGTATTCGCTCAGAGATCTTATCGACCGGATGTGACCGAAAATTATAAACCGAAGTCCTCCGATTGGCAATTTCGGTAAAAAAAAAAGTTCTCCTTGAACCAGCGTTTTTGAGGGATGCTGTTTCTCCTCGTTTCTGTGGTTTCTTCGTGAGTAAGTTTGTGGATAATCCTTGTTCAACGCCCGCCTAGCTCAATCGGATAGAGCGTCAGACTTTTACGATCATTCGGGTGAAAGCAGTAATATCTGAAGGCTGCGAGTTCGACCCTCGCGGTGGGCTATTGCCATTTTTGGAGTACTGCTGTTTTTTAAGCAGATGTCGTGACAAACTTGGGTTACATAGACACATGACATGCCATGTATATTTTGATGTAGGCAAAGAGAAAGTGGGCTAACTGCCATGTATTTAAACAGTTAATAATGGTGAGGTGGGTTGGTAGTGAAAAAACTAAGTAATAGGCAGAAAAAATGAATAGAAATTGTGTAAAGGAATAACAATGAGTGTGAGCCAATGCAACCTTCCATTCACATACTTACAGTCAGGATTTAAGACTTGTGAGAATTGCAATCAGGCATCACACTGAGTTTGAAATCTATGGTCACAGATGAGGATTCTACTCATTTGACAGCTGAAAGGTGGAGAAGTATGGTTGCAGACAGCCAAACACAACAAATCAACATGACCAAATTTTGCAGCACTCAACATCATTATGGTGACTGCAAAAACACTTGATTTAGATGCTTTTAAACCTACAGAATAGAATTCCACAAGCAGAATTTCTTAATTTTTAGTTTAAACTTTGAGTACCTCAAATTCTTGGCCACTTGTAAAGAATTCCAAAAAATTGTGAAATCACAAGCTTTCAATGAGTGAAGTCTGTTCGTCATGAGGGAATGAAGAACAAAGTCAGATACTAAACTCAGAAAATAATAAGAAAAAATGATCAAAAAAGGCAAAACCCATCTCCTACTGCAAAATGGCATGCGGACACCCTCCAAAGCAACATCAAAACACTGCTGGACTGCATAATCACTCTCAGAGACCTAATACATCTACCAACCTTTGGTACTCAGCCTCAGCCCTGAGACTCCCACCTCCCCAAATCAGCCTCCATAACGTCTCAGGCCTAGACTGATACCCAACCAACCACTCCAGCAGCCTTTAGCCATCACCACCCATCACTGCCCATCACTGCCACCAGCCACCACCACCCCTGGCACCCCTTGTTCATCATCACCTACAGCTGCCACATCAGCGCCAGCCTTGGCTATCTCTGATGTTTCTTCAGTCACAGCTGCCACATCAGCACCTATCCTAGCAACCTCCAATGCTTCCCCCAGCTTGTGCCAAGGCCTTTCTCAGCCTCCACTGAGATGCCCATCATGTATCATGACCACACATCATCTTCAGTCTGACCTTTGCATGCCACACCCCATCCTCACTTGCCTCCTTGCCTCATTGACATTCCATGCCTCCATGCTCCCAAAGCAAGCCCTTCCTTTGGGAGCTTCCTTTGTACCACATGACCTGCATTGACCTCTGCCACCACCTTGCACAATCCCTGGGCTTCATCTTGAGCTTTGGTGCCATAACTCATCATCAGGGTGTCAGGTTCCGCTGACTACAGGGGCTCAGTCCACTGGGCGATTACTTTATGTGGTGGTCACTGTATCCACAGATGCAGAGTACTGGTAGGGGGCACGAGGCATAGGAGACAAAAGTGGGGCAGGAGAGGTAAGTATAAGATTGCCGGTAACGCCGGAAGAGGGGGCAAGTGCTGGGAGTAGGCATGAGTCCCAGAGTTCAATGAAGTGACAAGCGTGGGGACTTAGCAAGTCCTGGGGATGGAAGCAGGAGGGCAGAGATTAAGCGAGCCAAAAGGAGAAAAGATCGAGATAAGATAAGGGAAAGGGAAACAGAACAAGTCGAGACTGGAGGCTGGAGACAGAAAAGACAAGAGAACTTAGGATTGGCAGAGAGATGAGGAGTGAAGCAGAGTGGAATTAGAGTATGAGACAAATAGAGGCAACAAACGGAGCAAATATGAGACAAGTACGATAAGAAATGAAGCAGAGTGAAAATATAGAGATTGGGATGCGCAAAAATATGAGACAGAGACGAACACAAGAAAACGATATGGGAGTTATGGTAATATCAAGACTAGAGTACTACTTACTACTCTACAACTTATATACTGTGCAGTAGGTAGGCTCTGGGGCTCAGGCCCAGGTTCCAGCAGCGGGGCTTGGGGTGAGACCCAGGGATTGTGCAGGATGGCAGTGGGGGTTGTCGCATGGCACAGAGGTCTCACACTGGGAATGCAGAGACACACAGCGGCAAAGCAGTGAGGAGGGGAGTGGGAGCAGAGCGTGGCATGTGGAGATTGGATCGGTGGTGATGCGTGATCATGATGTGTAATGGGGGTCTTGGCACAGGCTGGGGGAGTGTCGGGTGTTGCCAGTGCTGGCACTGGTGTGGTGGCCATGGGCGGTGTGATAGCTGAGGCCGGCACTGATGTGGTGGTCACAGCAGTGATGGCCAGGGGGATGTCAGGTTCCACTGACCATGGATGCTCAGTCCACTGGGCGAATACCTTACATGGTGATCACCATGTCTACAGATGCAGAGCACCAGTAGGGCATGAGGCATAGGAGGCCAAAGCAGGGTGGGAGAGGTGTGCTGGAGAGTGCCGGTAGCGCCGGACGAGTAGGCGAGTGCCAGGAGAAGTGGAGGATGAGTGCCAGGGGATAGGCGTGAGTCCCAGGGATACAAGAGGGTGGAATAAATGAGTGCCAGTGCATGAGCGAGTCCCGGTGTTCAAGAGTTGATGGACATGGGGACTTAGCGAGTTCCAGGGATGGAAACAGAGACGTGGAAATTAAGCGGGCCAAAAGGGGAAAGGGTCGAGATAAGATAAGGGGAGAGGGAATAGAACTAGTTGAGATGGGGAACCGGAGACAGAAGAGACAAGAGAACTTAGAGTTGAGAGAGAGAGAAGAAGCAAAGTAGAACGGATTAGAGTACAAGACAAGTAGAGATGAGTACGATAAGAAATGAAGCAAGGTGGAAATAATGAGACTGGAACACATGAGAAGACGAGACAAAGACAAAACACAACAAAACAGTATGGGGCTACGGTAATATCAAGACTAGAGTACTACTTACTACTCTATGACTTATATACTATGCAGTAGGTAAGCCCCAGGGCTCGGGCCCAGGTTCCAGTGGCAGGTCGCAGCACCAGGGCTTGGGGTGAGACCTGGGGACTGTGCAGGGCAGAGTGGGGGTTGAGACATGTCACACAGTGCGGAGGTCTCACACTGGAAACACAGAGACATGCAGTGGCAGGGCGGTGAGGATGGGAGCAGGAGCAGGGTGTGGCATGCAGAGGTCAGGTCAGCGGTGATGCATGATTGTGATGCGTGATGGGGGTCTCAGTGCAGGCCAGGGGTGATGGGTGTTGCCGGTGCTGGTGCTGATGTGGCAGCTATGGGCGGCATGATAGCCAAAGCCAGTGCTGATGTGGCAGTCACAGCGATGATGGCCAAGGGGGTGCCGTGAGTGGTGGTGGCTGGTAGCGATGACAGACGGTGATGGCCAGGGGCTGCCGAAGGCGTTGGCCAGGTAGCAGTCCAGGCCCAGGATAGTCGTGGGGGCTGTTTTGGGGAGGGTTAGAGTCCCAGGGCCGGGGCTGAGTCCTGGGGATTGGTAGCAGGTCATGACAGATGCGTCCTCAGTACTTTGGCCCTCTGGTAGCCATCTCCAGGAGTAGAGAAGGTGCCTACGTCCTTTGTGAACTGGATGGCTCTGTGTTACATAGGCCGGTTGCCGCCTTCTGCTTGCTGCCTTACTTAGCCTGCAAACACATTGACTTGCCGCTTAGTGCCCTTGACATAGACACCGCCAAACTAAGGGAACTTGAAGAAACAGACTTGTTGGACGATGAAGACCTACCTGCGATAGAGGAAGAAGACAATGAATAAGCGCCAATTCACAACAAGCGCTAAGCCATTTCATTCCTTATACATGATTTTGCCATTTTTTTGATCAATACAAACACAGAAAGTCATTCTACTTACTTATTACCTTACAAGATGCTGCACCAAGGGTCTTAGCACTCTGTGCTCTGCGCAAACCACCGCCAAGGGGTTTTTTGCCATGATGATTTACTGAGCGTTCTCCAAAGGCCATTAAATACCTATTCATCAACAATTTGCTAAGTCACTCATTTACTCTATTTATATGACCCCTCCATTTACTACGCTATAGACTTTTATTTCTTATATTACCAACCAACCTGTTTGAAAAGTCCCCTTAACCTCTTCCTTCAGACCGTTCATTTGGGAAAGATTACAAGTCCGTTTACATTTCTAGACACTATCCATTCAAAAATTATTACAACTATTTAACAAATTATAAACTAAACGCCAACAGAAGTTAGTGCCTAGTCATCATCAGATGGGAGGCTGGAATCATGCAAGGGAAGGAGGTCACCTTCTTGGACATTATTCTCCTCCTGCCACTCTAGCGCTCACGTCACGTCCTCTTGGTAGTCACAAAACATTTCCACACTCTGCTATAACGTCGAGTACCGCAGGTGCAAGCCCATCAGCTCTGCCCATACTGCCTCCCTCTCCCATGCCAAGAGCCTTTCCATTTGGGCAGCCCGTGCCCTCATCCTCTCTAAAAACATGGCCAGCTGAAGAGGCACTACTGGGTGCGCTAAGTCCTCCCCCAGCCACTCAAAGGCCTCCTCAGTCACTCTTGGCGCTGGCAGAGAAGTCCATCAAGGGTCAAACTAAAAAACGCGCTAAGTATCACAGTGAATAAGCCACAGACCTGAGAAACTTACCTTTGCCATTACCCTGCGCCTAGGCTCCCAGGACTCTGGCTCGTTGCCTGAAGAAACGTCCTGTGTCGCAGGATTGTTGGCACCCCACTCCGGCAACCATGACCACTGGGGTGACCTCCATTCCCAAGGTTGCGCCTAGGGAGCTGCCTCTGGCCCAACCTTGGCCTCCTCCTCAGCCTTATCCTGCTCCATCTCCTCAGGTGGGGCGCCAATGTCTTGAGGCGCCTCCGCTTGGCAACTTTGACCCGCCAAGTTCTTTGCGCCTGGCACCACCTTGCTGGCCTCAATAGCCATGCCAAGGCAGCATGCCTTGTCCTCCTCGTCATCCTCAGACTCTATCTCTGGTGTCACCGCTACTGGTGACACCACCTCACCCTCTTCTTCCTCTTATCCATTGGCAACAAAGGTGGGGAAGCCTTGCCCTTTC